ATACCAACCATAGTGAGTTGTTAGCTGCAAAGGAAGTGAATAGATTCATGTGCAGTGTTATACGTGCGCATTTCAAGGATCTGGAAGTAAGTTAATAATTTATTTAGATTTTAATAAACATTATAAACGAAAATGTAAATTAAAATAAAATAAAAATAATTTAAGCTGTAAAATATACAAAAAAAAAATATTTTAATATTATTGTATTAAAAATACATATATCTAATTTATTTTGGTTTCAACTATTTTTATTATTTATTTTATCTTTATTTTTTATTTTAAAACACATATCTACATATATTTGTACACAGCTATAAATTTTGACCCTATTCCACCAATTTTGATGAATTTTTATTTGATTATGACTTCGACGAGATTGGAAGGTTGAAAATTGCATTTGAACATGATAGATTGCAGTATTAGAAGAACAAACAGTTCATGATAATTTTAGAGTTAAAAAAATTATTCTACAAACTTTGATGAATTTTAGTTTGAATATTGTTTAGACGAGAGTGGTAAATTATGGATTGTACTTGAACCTGATATATTACAGTATTAAGAAAATTGTTTTTATGATAAGTTAAGAAATAAAAAATTAAATTTATTAAAGAAGTTGGAATGGAAGCAGATCGAGAAAAAAGACACACTCACAGAAAAGCAAAAGAACAACGTGTAATTCGTTTATAAACATAAGAATTTGGCAATAAAGATGCAATTAAAATAGATACCAGAATACACTGCAAATCGTTTAGATGTGAATGAAACGACCGATGAGCAGAGTATATAAAACACTAAAACAACCTAGTATTCATGTTCCAATAAGTTGTGTTATGCTATGTTCAGACAGCAAAATTTCCCTAATTTCGTAAAAATGAAATAAAGTTAATTTCGAAAGTGTTCACACTGCGACAAATTAAAGAAATCATATTTTTTTGTTTATAAATCGAGCGGTAAAAATTATATTACATGGTATATAATTGTATTATAAACACCATATATAAAAATGTCAGGTTTTCGTTATCTCAACTTTATCTTTTGCTTAAAATTTATCTAACGCATAGTTGCATTTGAAATATCCCTTAATTTCAGCCGTCGTTTCAACGAAATTAAGGTCCTTTTTCTTAATTTCGTTTTAACTTTAAAACTTTAATTTATTTTGAAATTTTGAAACTGATAATTTGAAACGAAGATGAAATTAAGATTTTTGCGAAATTACAGTTTGTCTGTAGTATTACAGTAGCATATTTTATTGTGATTAAATTTAAATACGTAAATATTTGTTTGTAATAAAAACCATTAATTACAATTTAAATAGCAATATTATCATGTGCAGATGATGCTTTAGTAATTATTACTGATACAGAATTACAATTACCATTTAGCAAATTACTTATTTACCTTGATAAATATTCATTAGTATTCATAAACTAAAATAATAAGCCAGATCAGCACAAGTAATTTTACAAGAAAGGAAGAAAATCTTGCAACAATGGTATCTTGCTTTCTTAGTCAACGAAAGTCAAGTACATAAGAATTTCTGCATAAGAAATTAATGAGTGGTAAAATATATTTATATATATATGTTTTAACTTAAGTAATTTAAGTAATATTTATTTGTTCAGTAGGATGAACTGCACATTTTCTACAAAAAACGATTTAATAATCTTTAAAATAATCTTAAAATCAATTTGGAAGTGAAATTCGTAACAAACTTTTAGAAGCCAGTGACAAACTTAAACGAGAAAGTAAATACAATCAAACATAGTTAATATTTATTTAATTGCATCTTGGTGAATGAGTATCCACATTTGGAACTACATAACATATAATCATATAAAAATAAAGAAATAATACTACTACAGGAATGCTATATCGCACCATATATTCAATTTTAATGAATGGATGATGGTTTTGTCAAATTAGTCAAATTAGTGCGATAAAGATTAATTATATTGACCTTAAAATAGGCGAAGTGCTCTATGAACTTCGCGAATAGATTTATTTTATTCACAGTAAATTTCCATAATTTAAAAGCGTTGTTTCAGCGTTAAACGATTTATGATGAATTATCAAATCTTACTGAACAGAAATTCAACACAGCTTGACATTTTCAGCTGTCAAACCATAGTTATCGATATTGATAGTTCTCATGCAGCTACAAAAAGACCTGATATAATTGAGCAACCTGAAGTAACATTACATCTCTTTTTATAAGTTGCAAAGTATTATTTATAGTGTTTAATAAACAATCCGTCATTATCTTATAGTAACTCAACCCTTTAAAATTTCAGATTAAATTTTAAATTTAAAAGTTTACTTGTTTTTTTATAATCAAAAGTTGTATATCTAATAAATTATTATAATATGTAATTATTATTTGTTATTATTATCACATATTTGTAATTTACAAATTTAATCTATTTTAAAAAATTGATTTCACATAGTTTTTTTATTCATTCCTGTGTCTCACTATGTATCTGAGCTGATTTATCATTTTGTTTGTTATACTCGCAACCATTCTTTTCCACGTTAACTTAGGACGACCTCTTCTACGTTGGCCCTGTGAGTTATATTCCAGTACAGCATGAGGGATATCATTGATTAGTCTTTTAAACGTGTGGCCTAGACATTGATATTTACGCTTTTTGATTTCTTCTTCCACTGGGAGTTGTTCTGCTTTTCTCCATAACTCTGAATTCGAGATAATTGCTCGGCATTAAATGCGCATAATATGTTTCAAAGTTCTGTTCATGAATGTTTGTATTTTTTTAATATTTGTTCCGGTGATAGACCATGTCTCGTAGCTGTATAAGAGAGTCACTTTGACACATGTATTAAAAATATTGATCTTAGTCTTAAAACGTATTGTACTTGATCTTCACACTTTCTCTCTTCAAATATACTTTTTGTTTTTCGTAAACGGTAGCCCATATTCATGATGGTTTCATCATCAGTACCAACAACACTGCCGAGATACTCGAACCTTTGTACTTCCTTTAAGACATTACTCTTGACAAATAGGTTATCCTAATTGCTGGTATTTATGCATATTGTTTTAGTTTTCATTGCGTTAATGTTCAGGCCGAGTTTACTCGTATATATAATTAGAGTAATTAAATTAAAAAACATATTGTTCATCTCATTTAAGAAAAGATAAAACAAATAAATGAATGGAAAAAAAAGTGAAACTACTAAAAAAACTCTTTTCTAAAAATTTTTGTATTATGATTGGTATCCTTCTCTTGTAAGGAATACTTTAAGTAGTTTTTTCTGGCTTGCAGTTTTAGTATGGTTTTCTGTAGTTTATTATTAAAAAATTTTTTTTGAAGGAAAATTAAAATGTTAATTTTAGAGAACGTGTTAATATTTTAATGAATTTCGCATTAACACGTTCTCATACAAAATTTTTTATGCTAAGCAATTCAGTTTAAAATATTCTCATACCGAAATTTTTTTCTCATTCTACACATTTCTTTTTCGCTAAAAAAGAAATTTTAATGCCTTGAAATATTTTTATATTTAAAATTATATTTAAAAAATAATTAAGTTGCTCATACTTTACGAGAATAAATGCTCATACACTGCCGTAGGGAATTCTATTAAAAGATATTGCAAAGTATACGAGGTACAAGCGAAAAAAATATGTTTAGCTGAACTGAAAGCATATGTAAAATCATAATTTAATATGTTGACACATAAAATTTAATTAAATTTGCATTTGGGTGCTATAAGTATGTTGGGCTTAGAACACATAAATTCTAATTACATTTTATTGTTTATTTAGAATTTAACATACGCTTGATTGTGTATTTTAGTGGGTTATGCGTTCTGTGTTCTGAGTGCTGGGTGCTGCAGATATATGCCTTATGCAAGCATAAACAAGCGCTGAACAAGTGCAGTGTTTAGTCAGTACCTGAAAGTTACTGCAAACAATTTCCCTGGCATGCATAAAACTTGCCATAGGCAGTAAGACTGTGGGGAAAACAAAACACTACAAGTCCTGCATAAAAATTAGGTCATAAAACATTTTTGTGAGTATTTTTAATGTGCCGAAACCTTGTTGAGTAAAAGGACTTTAAGTGACTATTTCGAATTTAAGTACATATTTGTTCATTAAATGTTTTTATGTTATTTTGATGGGTTTTATTTTACTTAAGCGTAATAACAAGAGCTTCAAATAAAAATATTTTTACATATATTTTTTTAATGAACCATAATTTCTACATACAAAACTCATAAATACTGAAGAAATACTTCTAGAATATTTAATTTTTCGTATACACAAAACATGTTAGTAGCATATATATTGTGTCTAAGAAAATTCTACAGACACTTCAATGTGCAAAAATATTAATCGATATCCTGTCAAAAATAGAAAATTGTGCTTTCATTTCCGCAATTACTCAGCAATCGAGCACTTTTATCAAAAATTCATTAATAATGACAAGTTATAAGTCATATACACATACACACGCACGCACACACAAATGCATACCAAAATCGGCGCCATTTTTATTAAGCACCTTTTCATTTATGCTTAATGCCCCCATTTTCACAATTGCCAATTGCTGAGCATGCAAACAAAGGTGCGCTTCCGTTTCCAGTGAAAATGTACATTATTTCATTTTCATTTTCAGTTTTTCCTTTTCACTTATTTCATATTTTCCTTAATGAAAATTTATTTACCGTATGCATAAGTACGTGTATGTATATGTCAAATAAAACTATACACTCATATACTTGCAAATTCTTTTGAAAATAGAAAAAAAATGAAAAAATTCGCAAGTGCAAAGAAATTGCCGAATTGCGGAAATGTTCGAAATTCAAAACATCAATTATGGTGGATTATTAACGCTCCCAACTTACCGCGTCCTTACGTCATATGGCATCAATGTACGTAGGTAATAGCACTTTTGTAATGTAGCTCTTCAAGTCTGAGAGAAACGCTTATTAAGGTCACATATTCCATTGAAATATATTCAAGCGGAAAAGGAAGTTTTCGAGTGTAAGCAATTCGAAGAGCGAACGTATCGAAATTCAGTACAGAATCGTATTTATGACTAAAGTTGCACGAAATATTTTATTTAATAAATGTATGGAAATGCTTAAATGCTTAAAATATTGAATATATGAACTTAATATGAAAATTTTTAAGCGTAGCTATTTTATTATAAGGAAATGTTATATATTAGATTTCAATATAAATTATAAGTTTATATATGTAAGTTTCAAGACAGTTTTATGTCAACAATAGTCTTTAAACAGGCTGAGAGGAGGTCATAGCCAATCGCTTCCACACAATTCCGGAATAAGTTTTCGACAGCGATATATATATACGTTCAGTGTGTATAATATTCTGAATTTATAATTTAAAAAAAGCTCATAAAATATATCGGTAGTTTTTTTTTGAACTGCATGAGACCTATAGATATCGGTAACAATGGTTCGAACACTTAGCATGTCAAACATTTCTCATAAAATATATCGGTAGTTTTTTTTTGAACTGCATGAGACCTATAGATATCGGTAAAAATGGTTCGAACACTTAGCATGTCAAACATTTCTGTAAAATATGGTTTGGCAATTCATCAACGCTTACAAATTGTGTAAATTTTCTTTGAAAAAATAAATCTGTTCGCGAAGTTTATAGAGAACTTCGTCTATTTTACGGTCAATATAATAATCATATCAATGAGTAAAATTGCTTTATATGAAGCGAAGATGAGGCGTTAACGAATTATCATTACATCCATTAAAAATGATTGTTTGGTGCGGTGTATATGTTGGTGCCATTATAGGTCTTTATTTCGAAATAAGGAAGGAGTTGCCATTACGGTGAAGGGTTGACTGAATTTTTGTTTCCCAAAATTAATCAGTAAAACATAGCCATGGCAATTTATTTTCAGAAGTTGCTATTATGACCTGGTCTGTTAATCCCCTCGTTCGTGCGATTTTACGCCTTTCGATTACGTTTTATAGCTCAGCAACTTTTGAAGCATTAAAAGCCAATATACATGTCACAATTGATGCCATACGGGCGCATTTATTGCAAAAAATAGTCCGATCTAAAAAATTGGACTGATCGAATGGACCATGTATCTCGTAGCGTTGGCGGACATGATACCGGAAATCATATACAAAAAATACATGCCATAAAATTATCTATCAGATTTTAATAATAAAAATTTTATACTAATAGGAATGGCATAGTTCTAGTGCATTTGATGGGATTTGCTCTGAAGACAATGAAATTTGTTTTGATGGATTAATAATTTTTTTATGTTTTAACATATATAGTAATGCGGAATTATTCTTCACCGAATTGTGAAGTTTGTATATCGAACGATAATTTTTTATTTGTCAGCAGTTTTCAGCAAACATTTATTTAATCACATTTCAACAAGCTTAATCACACTAATTGTTTCAACTACTATAAATTATTAAGTTACATTTAATGAGTATTGTTTAAATATGTTCAAAATATATTTTATCTAATTAAGATTGAACATTTACTGCTTAATATGTAGAAACATGGATGGAGTAGTAAACTTAATTTTAAAAGTGTGTTTGGATTTATTACAGAAGACGGTAAACTGTTCAAGCTTGCATTGTGATGGGCTCCACAAGATCGAGTACAGCGATTCTTTTATTTTAATCTAATTAGCAAATTACTTTTGCATTTTAAGGTAACAAGAATGCATTCCAATTTTTTTCTTCAATAAATAGTAAAATAAAAAATAATTAAACTGAATTAATTGGAGAAGATACTCCGGTGTGTCGGTCCTTATTCTGAGGCGGTAAATGAAATGCGAAATAAAAACTATAAAAAGTTTTTTACCTCCTTATATCTACCAAAAAGGACGTAATCACATGCATACGTATAATTAGCGCTAATAAGAGTTTTACATACAGGGTGTTTCGTGGACATTACTTCGTATAAAGTTCGTTCGATGACTTCTGTTTTAACACCATTAACGGTTATTTTCGCAACAGAGTTGGATTGCAACTGATAGCAGAACCTTTATGCTCTACGTAGAATGAAAGAATCACATACTTGCATACAATTGCAGCTGATTAAAATTTTATATACGGAGTGTTCCCTATATTTAATAAAGTTAAGAGCTAATGCTTTGGAAAAAGAAATTAAAAGATCGTATAAGCAGGGAGGATTCACTCTCAATAAAACGAAACCTTTATCCAAAAAAAAATTATATAATTAAGCGTAGCTGCTGCAAATAATTAAAGTATCTTTTTCTATTAAAAATCTTTTTATTTAATTTTTAATCTGTTTTTGTATTTTATTGAGATTTAAAATTCAAACGAATGAGAATTGACTTTGTAAACTTTTTTCATTTTTGTAAAAGAATTTTTTTTTTTCAATGAATTGAAAAATATTGTAAAATTGTAAAAATAAAATTGTGCATGTGTTGTAAAGTCGAGAAATAGATATGAATTTATATAGTACGGATAATAAGTCCTTAAAGAAATTGCATACTTCTTAGAATTTATGTAATATTCATATTTTTTATAGACTACTTTATTTATTAAAATTAAATTCTTTTTAACTTACTTGAAATATCCCAATATCGCTAGAGATAGTAATATTGCTATTAATGATATACAATAGCCCACTTCAGATATAAGATTAATGCTGTGCTTCCACTGTAAAATAAGTTTTCAAAATAACGTTTTTTTATATATTAATAATACTAATACGAAAATTGTTTTAAATTGCATGTAAATTATATAAATTTCTTTGTAATATGTACCTCTAAATCATCCAGATTTACACAGGTTGTATAATTGGACCAGGTTTTGTTTGTTAGTGGATGCTTAAACCATTCTCCGTCCTCATCACACTCTTTGTGTGCATACCCTGCAAAATTTAATTAATTTGTTAAACCTTTTTATATAAACTACTTAATTTTTTAAATGCAAGCAATTTTAAATATAATTAAGACTAATGCAACCCCTCCTTCTAATATATTTCCAAAATATATCTTATTAAATAATTACCCTCATATGTTTAAATATCTGACATATTTAATTTCTTTCCCTATGTTCTCTTATAAAATAAGTAAGTATATAATTAAGATTCGTAGCCAGGAACTTACTTCTATATGTGTATATACTCGTATATAGTTATAGCTATGTTCTTAAGCATAATTGTTATTTAGTTCCTCATAGTTCTTATTTTATTTTCTAAATAATGACTATTTGAGAGTATAGTTATAAAATTTGAAAATAAAATTTATTTTCTGAAAACTAACTTTTAATTATAAGAAAACTATCTGAAATATGCTAACATAAGATGATTTTCTTCATACACATTTAATATTATTAGAGTAAAGAGCAACTGTAAACATTTTTTTTTTGATATAATAATAAATAGAATAATTAAAACTGAATTATAGAAAGCTTAACAAGAAACATTTCATTTGCTGAGCACTATGCTTTTGAAAAAGTATCTGAACATTGAAAACTGTTAACAAAATAAAAACCTCAAAAATTGCTTAAACATTCCTTCAATATAATGAAGTACCCGTTCAAGTTCTTAATAAAAATATGCAATTTGAAGGGAGAACAATATTCCAAAAAATTTTGAAATGTAAAGATTTAAATAAAACTATTTAAAATTTTTTTTTCCCTTGTTTAAAATAAGAACTATTTTAAAAATTTGTTGTTATTTTTATATTTTCAAAAATAGATTTACTGTGGAATAGATACGTTGTAAGTATAAGTATACTCATAACATTTTATTATTATTGGTCAGTTTTTATTTTTAAATATTTATTAATAGCTTATTATTAAAACTAGCAGTTTTTTTTTTTCTAATATAAAAAAATGTAATCAACAAAGATACATGTTTTCACAACCTGACCAATAAACCAATAAGTCTAATAATAAATATTTAAAATAAATTTCTTGGTCATGACATAAACAGTAAATTTTTAAAAACTGTTGGGGAAAACTAACCTTCGTGAAATATTTATAAATGAAATTGTGAGAACTCTTTTTAATATTGCACTTTAAGTAAATTATGTTTAAAAGTTGACTCAACTAATAAAAATAATAGAAATAGAAATAATAGACAGTCTGGCTAATCTTGAATAGATTTATTTTTAAGTTCATTTTTTATTTCTGTAGGCAGAGCGACAATGCTGTCACAGAAAACGAGGATGTAACGCCCCATTGAAATTTTAAGGAATTTCCACAGCTACTAATTGAAGTTATGTGTTTGGCATAAATTCCCACATGTGAGGAGCGAAGCCTACTTAACACCTCTGTTGATATTTGAGTTTCAGTATCCGGGTGGAGGCCGAAATTCCACATCGAATAAAAGTAAATAAATTTAATCATTCTACCCGCCGAAATTTGGGTTTGAACCACAGCCACTACGACATTCCCGTTAAGATGTCAACTTCAATTGGTCAGGACTCTGACACCGTGATACCAGTTTCACAATTCCGGTCAGGTGTCGTAAGTGAAACTCACTTACTATTATTTACACTCCAAACAGTGTTGGGTGGTGTCAGTATTTTAGTCACTACTTACGACAGTAAGTGCGTGCCTTACCTCGGAAATATTCTAACCCTCTTCCCTTCTCTACAATAATAGGTAGAAATTTGGCGAAAGTTCCACAAGTGGAACGCGTACTACATTAATGTTTCTCACATTCTACATTTTCATTAGTATAGCGTACAGATCGGAGTCGTGTAACTGGGTCGATTAAAACGATAATATTGAAATTAGTTGATGTTATATATAGGTATTAATGTTTTTTCATTTCAAAACAATTTTTTTAATAAAACATTTAGATTTGCCAATAGAGTTCAATTATTTATTATTTATTTGTTAATTTATTTCCTTTTTTTTTATATCAATAATATCAATAGTATCGATTGTATTTATTATTGTTTAAAAATAAGAATTTACTATACTCTAATACAATAAAATTTATTTAAATCACAAATTTTTATTTCCAAATCTCTTAAATTCTATTTAGTAAAATTGCAGTAAAGTTTTATGTTTTAATTTAAGCGAAAACATCTTTGGATAATTTGAAATCAGTTGTGTGGAAAAAAGTGAATACCAGCCACATCCGCTAACAGGATATGCCATAAAAGTTAATGGCTTTTTATATAATATGCCAATGTGCCAATTTTTGCACCAAAAGGAAGAATACACTATGCCAAAGAAGAAGAAGAGTGTGGCAAGAACTGTAGCTGGAGCACGATTTTTTGTGGTGTCATTGGACGTGAGCTGTTGGTGAAACTTACTCTAGAAGTTTATATTTAGTGTGAGTCATGTGCTCTGCACTAGAAAATGTTTAAATATTGTTGTCGATAGATTGACCATAAAAACACAACAAACCACAAAGAAAAACATCAACAAGTGTTAATGAAAGCAAACTTAAAAATACAACAATTTTCGTTGTATCATGGATTTCACATAAAAAAGTTAAATTAGAAATGGCAAACGGTTTTCATGGTTTCAGATATCAAAGAAAACATGTTTATATATACAGATATCTGGTTTATGTGATATGTAGTAACAGATTAACACGCGCATTCACACGTTTATGTATAATTTGAAAAGCTTCCATTGTCTGTCCGCGATGACAGACTCGCAGACTCGGTAGGAGAAAGTGTGCTCGCTGCGAACTTAATATACTTGAGGACATCTGTTTCCTGTTCTCCGGCTGTGGCTAATATCATTACACTCCCACAAAATGTTTGGTATCAAATTAACTTAAATTTGGCTGGCAACAATAATTTGCGAATTTCTGGCTTTTATGTTAAAAAGTTCATATTAAAACAAAACCCAATTGAATTACAAATTAATTAGCCTTAAAACACAACAGGATACATTTTGATTGCCTTTTGAAGTAGCATTTCTGTGGCACTGATCTGTGGCTTCTTTGGTGTGCATTATTTTGATTAATATTATTGGTGGCTTTATTTGTGACTTCAAAGCATAAGATTATCTCAAGTAACAAATAACACTTAATAACACTGATGGTTTTAAATGAAAATGAATTAAATGAATCCTTGCCACACTTCCCACAGAATGTTGAGCAATATAAATTAATTTTTATATTTCAGAATTGTAAATCATTTAAAGTAATTTTAAAATTTTAACTTTTATTAATAAAGCAATTTAAAAAATTTTACGAGGGTTGCTTTTAAGTTATCCACTCGTATTTACTTAGCAATTTAAAAGTAATTAAAAGATTGATTCAGAATAATCAAACCACATAGTAAAAATCAATTAAATTTTATGTGGTCGTTTGTTTTTTATCTTCTCAAGGGTTTTTATTTAACTAGTAAAAAAATACGCTAAAAAAATACGATTTTGAATTGAAATCCTTTTTAAGAATTCAAGGAACTGATTTCACTAGAAAGACTCCATTTTGCTCATAAAAATAGCTTTAGTCGAACTAAAAGTAAAATCTGATGTAATAAAAGTAATAAAATTTTATGCAATGATTTTGTAGTTGAGTTTGATAAAATCGTGCGTGTTCACTGGAGCAGCACTAAGCCATTATAGGTTTGTAGATATTTATGTGCTATATTAAAAGGTTACAACAGGTCAACTATTCCTGGTTTATTATGTTGAGTGCTGTTTTTTCTTTCCACATATGCATGAGTACGTCCATAAATGTTAATGGACTCTTCAGGTCAAACATAAAATGTTTACATGCATGAAATCGAAAGTACGTATTCTCTGCATTAAAGCAAAAATGGCTTTCAGATTTTAACTGATTTTTTTACTATTTTGAATTACTTTAAATGGAGTATATATGTTTATTAATAAACTGGAAAATATTACAATAATAATATTAAAATGTTAATTAGAGAGAGACACATAATAGTATGACGAAATACATGTATTCATACGTATTGTTTCAATTTTAAGAATACAAGTACCTTTACATATTCATATGGACTTAGTTCATATTTCGGTTGACAATCACAACATTCATATTTATGTGAATATAGTATAGATAGTATATAGAATATTAAGTGTAACAACTATATTTCAAGTGAAAGGAAAAGCTCTTATGCTGCTATTAACACGATTTAGTTCAAAAACTGGAAATTAAAAATTATTTACCAGTATTTACTAGAACTGCTATTACAGTCCTGTACTCTTTATATATTAAACTACAAGTCATCGGAACTTATATTCCACTTATGAGTGAGATTGGCATCCATAATAGCGTATTTATAATTAGAATACTAGAACAGATTGATTACCTCTTTATCAGATGCTTTTTCTTCCCTCAATCACTTTTGCAAATTATCTGGAAAATCCTAAGTCCTAAGACTTGGGATTTTCAATTTCAATTCCAATTATTATCCAGCAACTCAATTTTTTATTTCAATATCCTTTACTTAGGAATTGGTATTTTCCAATTCCAATTCCCAACTATAAACTTGGTACCCAATTCCCAATTCAAATCACCCTGTAATGGTAATTAAATTGGTAAAGGAATTGATTTTGTACAGATCGTCATATCTATAAATATCTGATAAATAGTCATAATATTATGAAAGACCTTTTCTTTTGATCAATTCTGAACGAACCAAAATAATTATTTGATTAGTCTGTAACATAATAAATATCATAAACATCCTAATTTTTCTTGATTTCTTGATTTCAATCTCAGGTCTGTCTCAGTTTGTAGTGCTCCAATATAACATCCAAAAGCTTTTCTCTTTATTAATCTTGAATTAATCAATATAACCGCTTAGCAGTATATCATAAATAGCATCAACTTTCTTGGTTCCTATCGCGATTCTACCATAGTTTATGGTGCTTCAGTATAGGACCAAAGTTTTTCTCTTGATTTATCCTGAACTAACCAAAATAATCGTTGGGCAAGTTATCAGTATATTATAAAGTGGAATATTTAAGAATACCAAGCAACTATATAGAATAACTTTTTTTGGAGCCAGTCCCGCTTTTGGCACAGTTTGTAAAGCTTGACAGATGTTTGTGATACAGTATGTTCACCATAGAGAAAGCAATTTTTTGCGGAAAGTATAGCATTATTTTCTTTTTAATTTTCATTGTAATAAATCAATCTAAAATCAAGTTTTAAATTCTGTAGATACTATTTCAATTTTATTTTGCACTTGAAAGTTTGTTTCGAATTTCTTTAGTTAACTTCATTTAGGGGTTAAATGAGACGTTGTTTCTAATTTGCGTTAAGTTAATTGCTAGCACCTAATTGACATTTATATTGTGTTGGTATTTTGCTTAGAATATTGGTGATAACTCCTGTTTCATATTATATTTTATTTAATTACTTAAAAAATTCCATTAATTAAAATAATTGTTGTTGTTCTAGTATCTACTTTTCGAAACCTCCTTCGAAGCCTATTTAAAAACTTGCGTGTAAATTGAAAGCTATTTACTTGGAGATGCTTCTGTATAAGCTTAGGTTGAGGCTTTGATATACATTGTAATGGTCGAGGATTAAGGAGGAAAGTATCAGTCTCAGTATGACTTTGTTGTAAGACTTTGTCTAGTTCAAGAGCATTGAAGATTAGGGACCAGTTCCTGTTTGTTGAAGTATGAAATAATTTGTTTTCATGCTGTAAAGCTAGTGGAAGGCTATTTTTACAGAACTAAACACCATATTCTTTGTTTTAATAATGTAATACATTTGTAAATGCATTTCTCAATCTATGGCTGTATAATCTATACTGAATGCACGAACTTAGTTTGTGGTGCGATTACTTAATGTTTTTCAATATAAAATTATAATTCTTAATTATATATTAAATTATTAAATCAAATTATCGTACCATTAATATTAAGTAAGTAAAATTATTTTTATAACTGTGCGAATATCAGCACCGGAAACAAAATGTTCATGTATTGCATATTCCACATACAGGAGTACATTTTATATTTATCCTCAATCTACTTATACTAATCTCAAATGAGTGTTTAAGACCCAAAGGACACTACTTTAACAATGCTTAATTTAACTTTTGATTCAAATTCAGTTTTGAAGCACTTTAAGGAGCAACACACGAGTATTTATTTGTAGTATAAATGTAGAGTAAATAAACAAGTAAATTGTACGGTAACAAAATGCAAATAAATTAAAAAGCATATCTAAAATCTGTAGGGAATGTTTTTCGGTAAGTATTCAAAACGAATTTCTATTTGTTAAGTATTTCAAGAGATTTTTCATTCAAAAAAAAAGTACCTTATACCTTACGAAAAGGTAACAAATTGAGCACAGTAAATTTTTATGAGGCTTCCACATGCAACAAATACTGCCACAACACAAATGCTGAGCCTTAGCTCGAAACGTATATATAGTCCATTTGTATCCTGTTTGGTATTTTCCTGTTCGGTATTTTCCTGTTTAGTATTTTCTTTTTCATTTTTGAGATTTTCTCATTTGTCATGCAAAATCTTTTAATACGTCGAGAGTCACACTCTCTGCTGGCTAGAACAAAGTGGAAATTATGTCAATTGGGAGCACATATCAGCTCCTATGGGTAGTATTGTATATCTGTTATGAAGCACTTGTAACTGTTAAACAATCTTTACTTGTATTTTTTTTTATTTTTATTTTTTTATTTTTGTGTAGAAAAAGATTGCTGACAACTGCTAAATTAAGAATTATTATAAAATTTTTTTTTTTTTTTGATACCCATAATCTTTAAGCCGGAAAATATTTTTATTAAATTTTTCCAGTGTATCAAGTATATCCCAAATACTGTTTAAATATAATAAATTTAAAATTTAGCTCAGCTTATAATAATAAATACTTACTTAATGGATCGAAACCTATTATGAAATCCGGACAAGGTTCGTAAGCGGAAGTGCCAGCAGCTGTATCCGGCCAACAAAGCCAACCATCAAATGTGCCAGGACAGAGTTTTCCTTTTTAACACAAATAACATAACAAAAATATTAATAAAGTGTAAAAGTGAAAAGTCCTTTTATATTTTTTATTTTTCTCTTTTTATATTTCAATTATATGCAATAGGAAAAAAAATGATTATACGATAAATTGTAAAGCAATAATTTCCGATTTAAGGCTCATATTTATTTAAATTTCCATTTATCTCTTAGTTATGTCCTTTTGTATTATTTTCTTTTTTATATTTTTTTTATATTTTTTTTATATTTTTTTTATACCTTTTTATAAAATTTTTTTTTAATACTCACCTGCAACGTAATTCGTTGCTGTTTTGTTTAAGCGCTCGTAACATTGTCTGCGAAGCTTTACGAAGGGGTCGGGCGGAGCTTCCGTTCCATCTGATTCCGCCGTACCGATTCCGCCGGCAACTAAATTGGAACTTGTTGTTGTTGTCGTTGTTAATACGTTTTGTAGAATGGCAGCTATGGAACTGGCAGTGGAATGTGCACTGCCAGAAATTTGATTTTCACCCATTGTTTTTCTAATACTGCCTTTGGAGTATTTTTTATTATGATTTTTATTTGTTCAAACAGTTTATATTTTTTTGTTGTTTTGTTTTTTTGTTTTTGTGTGTTTTTATTTTATACAAAAAGGATTCTAAGCTACGTTTCCATAGACGCCGACACACACATATCTGCATACAAACGTAAGGACATAAATATTTGTGTGGATTTATGTTTTTGTGATAGATTTTTTCTTCTTGTTTTCTGTTATTTCAGTTTGTTTGCTTTACAGAAGGTTGATTCTGTTGCCTTTATCCTTTATCAGTTATTTAATATCCTTTTGGTATTATTTAGTAGATGTTTTCTCATGAATACAAAAGTTAAATTGAATTTTATCGTTGCTCTGAAATAGATAAATAAAGTATTTTAATAAATGTTGGAAATTAATATTAAGTAGAATTAACAGAAATACAATCTAACAATGTGAAATAGAATTTCGTCTAACACTTTGTGAAAAGATGAAGATTTAAAAGATATATTATATTGGAATGCTTTTCAAATATTTTATAAAGAATTGAAAAAAATTTTTTTTTACATTGAAAATTTTTGAATAAGGACAAAGCTGCTGCAAGTAAATTTCAATAGAGCTGACACAAAGCATGTCCTTTTCAAGTGTTCAGCAGTTTTAAGTAATTGATTCCATCGTATCACATTGAAAATATTCAATTTTGTTCTTCTCTGCAATTTGTGCACATATGTCGTGCATTTCAAATCAATTTTGCTGCGGATTTGTACTCCGTTTCAATGAATTCATTTTGGATTTCTGGTATTCATACGCCAAATGGACTAATGGTTAGATAATCCGCATTAAATTGCATTCAGTTTGCATTTTCAATATCTACTAATGATTGTTCTAATTTTTTTAATTTCCTTTTAAATACTACAGTCTTGTTAATTGCTTTTTAATTATACTCACAATACTATAAAGAAATTTGATTAATTGCAAATGCACTTATATTAAATTTCATGGATTCAATTGGAACGAAAATAGTTGTTAAAATAGTATTTCTCTTATACGTGGAATTCGTATACTAGATTGTTCAATAAATTGATGTAGCAAAGACCATGCGTAAATAGTAAACCTGAACACTCGACACCACTCAGATTCTATCTTTCATTCGTAGAGGTGCAATTAACAAAAAAAAACATTGAAAATCATGCATTCTGTATAAAAAATTTGTTTATATATCAAAAACGTTCTTAGCCTGCCGTTTCAATTGTTTTCTAGTATCAATAAGCTTTTGTGTCAAAGGTTGCAGTTTAGGGGTAAATTCAAACAAAATGAAATTGATTTTTTTGTTGGGACAATTAAAATACCCAACTTTGACCTTCCTCAAATAAATCAACACAGCTTTAAATCCTGGATTTAAAGCTTAATTTAGGCTAAATACATAACAAAAGGGCAAAAAAGGCGAGTACTGTCCAAACGAACAGTTAGTAGGAAATGGGGTCTCCGACATAAATCAACACATTGAATGTACAATAGGGTGGTTCCTTAACTTCATTTGTGCACGTTTTGCCCGAGTAAATGGTTGCACTTCGAGATCAATGCATACCCTACCTAACCAACAATTCAAGTAGGGTGTGTTATTCATTTCTTTAAATTTTATATCTGATCACGCAGTTGCCCATATGATAAAGGTTAAGACCTTACTGATGTTTTAGTTTAATAAACTTTTAATCTATGTGAAAAATCAAGCATGTTTGATCCTGATAAGAGTATTCTTGTGATTGAACTATCCTTCATACTTTGTCCGCAAACTGTATTAGAAGCTTCAGTTTTACGCACCACCTGATTTCTTGCATATGATATGGATAGATTTTGAAATTTATGAGGGTTTCGTTTGGGTGTCTCCATGCCACAGAGATCTTTTATGTCTTTTACATTTCGAGGGCTAACGAATCATCCCAACATAAATATATATATTTAAATTTATGTTTCATAAAGGTTTTATTCGTAATGATGGTTGTCGACCAAATATTTTTATTGTTGAGAATGAATATTTAATTGATTAATCTATTTCTATATTCAATATATTAGTGCAGGATGTTATAGGTATTTCTAAAAAAAACCAGCCGATCGAGTGTAAAAATATTTTATTTAAAAATTAATTGTTGTGCCAGAAAGTATGCAATGTGTTTATGAGATTCTAAAATTTGATGATCTTAAGTTTTTCAGAAGGAACAATATCATCTTTTGACTTAATAAAAGCCTACCAAAGTTTTACTAATTATTGTCGAGTGAATACTATTGTTACAAAAAAAACTATCTTTATTATGTTTATTTACTTTCGTTTCAAAAAATTCTTTATTTTACAGTTTTTATTTCATTTATACTACTGGTAAAGTGCAATAAATTCATTTCATTTCATAGTAGAATAAATTTAAAATTTTTGGTATTGATCAGTTGTTACAAATAGTAATAACTAAACAAACTGAAAATAAGAAATAAACAAATGCATTTATACGTACACCATTTGGAGGTATTTTCAAACATATATACTTTAATTTCATGCGTGTTTTCTAACCGATAAATCGTCATATGCAGCACTCGAGGCATTTCCTCCTTTTACAGCGAAGTCTATTAAATTTTCAAACAAATAAACTTTGAACATCGGTTACGAATATTTTATTATTAAATTTTTCGAAGAAGTGGAGAATGTTGCATGGAAACCACAATGCGTTAAGCATGGTTGTGACATTTTGAAATATATATATGAATATGACAAAAGCAGTTTTTCCTGCACAGAACTAAATTTCGTCATATTAGCTCAACAATCTTTAGTGAAATGCTATAAAGTAACAGCTGAAATATGAATCAATTGTTATATGCGGAAAGCACAGATTTCTATTTGAAATAGAATATGTAACCTTATATATCCGCTTTTGCTTGTTGTGTTATTACTTGGATATGTGAAATAAGTAAAATGAAAAATGCCTTTTTGTTAAATATTATTAAAATTAAATAAATATGAGTGTCGCATAGTTTACTTACAGGGCGCCATTTTTTCACTTAATTTCAAGCGTGATTTGCGATTTTTAGAACTGGTAAAAAGAATCTGTATTAAATTTTGTATTGCAAATGAAATTTATTGTAAAGCAAAATAAAGCTTAATCATATACATATATCAGGTGCAGTGCATAAAACTGTTGAAATGTGGTGGAAGGTCTATCTTGTTTTTGCCGGTGTTCAATTGAACATAATGTCGTTAAAGTAAAGAAAAGGTTGTTCATTTAAGTCTGAAAGAGGCAGTCCCTGAAGTTTTTGTATCTCACGAATCGATTTGTACCATTTCAAATGATTCTTTGGGCATGAAACGCGTTGTTGCTTGACTTGTGCCGGTAGAATTTAAGTTTTTTGAAAGAACTCAGTGTCTTTAATTTTAGCCAAAACCGAAAAAGCGGTTATAGTGTAATTGAAATTGTTACAATAACGTGGGAGATTAAATAGGAAATATTTTTTGAACATTATGTGAGTTTTAAATAAGACAAGATCTGTAGAAAGAAAACTCATAGATTTTGCACAACTATAACGTATCATCTTTTTATAGTACCTTCGTTTTTATAAATAGACGCAAATGGCTATACGCTTCGTAAGGATTCAACAAAAATATGTCGTCGCTGGATTGGAAACCACTTTTCTAACATGGCTTTGATCGACTATTTTCTTTTTCCATAAACTTAAATTATAACCTCAAAGTATCCGTTTTCAGTCAATAAATAACATAAAATAGATTTCACGCCGTGTACTGAAGTCGATTCTAAAAAATTAGTTAAAGAAATTGTTTTGATGACTGTGTTATTCGTTGTCATAAATGCATGATTTCTGGAAAAGATCTACTTAGACAAAATAAATTCTAATGAATAATATATATTTTATGTTTCATTGACTCACTTCTGGTACTTTCTTGACACTTCCGGTACTTGTAGTAAATCATATTTATTATTGCATGTTTATTAAATTATATGAAACATATTAGCATTCATTAAAATGTATAAGACGTTTTTAGAACTTTTATTGAGACAAAAACTGTCATAAATATTTATGTATAGAATATCTTTACGAATAATTCTCGAAAATTGACTCAATATGAGATCATTATAACTTCTTTTAAGCAAGAAATTAAGAACAATTAGTTATAAGTTGCTATATATTGCTGTAACTGATATTTACCTATTTTATAATAAATTTTTAAAGATTTAATAATAATTCATATATCGCTGTAATTGATAGTAACCTATTTTATAATTAATTTCTTAAAATTTAAAAATAATTATTTTTGTGTTCAGTTTCTTTTTGTTATATATATATTTGTGAAAAGGGGTAGTGCACTGCGATCTAAAAGATTTATTGTGCCTCTTAGTCGGATGAGTGTGTTTCTTCAAGTCCGAATTCATAAATGAAAGACAGTATAGAGCCTATCTTACCTAGTCTTGAATCCTTATGATTCATGAAATACCCTCCTAGGTCTTTGTTTCGCTTGTGCATCAGTGCGGGCACTCTGCAAGCAGATGATATGCAGTTTCTCTCTCTTCTCTACAGTATCTGTAGTCTGAGTTGGACTGAATTCCTAACTTCGTTAGGAGATTATTTAAATTACAGTGAATAGGCAATAATTCCGTAAAAATTTTTAGGTTATTTTTTGATTTTTTTTTATATATAACAATAGCTAAAAAAATCATTAGATTTTATTTAAAGCAAATGTAAATTAAGTGTTTTAATTATAATACGCTAAACGTTTATAATATTTAATACATTTAATCATTTAAATTTTATTTTAACAATTTTAAAATATACATTAAGTAGTTCGAATGTTAACTTTCCTAAAGCAATTGAGTGTTTATCATAAATATATGTCAAAGCATAAGCACTCACTTTACTACATTTAAATATTGTGGCATATAAATCCATCCTTACGATATTTTCAACAATACATTTGCATTTATAATGCAATTATCCTCTTGATTGCTTAAATAAATGACTAATTTGATTGCTAAAATACTATTGCATTCAAAAGGTTTCAGGACAATTAAACTCAAATTGAACTAATTTTCAATTCACACTTAATATAGGCAATTAAATTCTTAATCAAAATATAACAAATCGTTTTCAATTTATTATTTTCATATAAGAACATACAACTGACAAGTAAAATTAGGTGTTTGGACATGTAGACAATAATTTTGTAAAACAATAAATTTAAATTAATATAATTACAAGGAAGTCAGCTGAAGTTTTTCCACTATAAGGTAACACAATAGGCTTAAGTGCATTCCTATTGGATCGCTGATATAACCAAACTTAACTTAAATCTGTTGGTAAAAGTACCAGTTAAATGAAGA